ATTTTACAAATATTTTGGTTTGCCACCTTTCTAAAATGCAAATACCAATTAGAAGATATCTCGGCATCTCAGAGCTGTAGTCCGGGATTCGGGATACCAGGATTGAATGCCCTAGTTACCACTAATCCCCAGTTAAACATCGTTATCGACGTTACACATAAAATTATGTCGGTAACGATGATTAACTGGGTATTGTTGTTAACCATAGATGTTGAAAACGTCCCTTAGGGCCGGTTCTTCAATGTCAGGTTATCACTACCTCCCAGTTAAACATCATTATCGACGTTTTCGACATCATGCATTAGGGATGATAAATGAGTTTTATAATTTTGTACCAATGGCCAGCAAAAGTCTACTAAATCAGCTGAAAAAGTACCAGCATTTAAAAGACCATACATACTTAGTTGTATGTTTTTATATTAAATACAATTCTCTATATAAAAATTATTTGCTGAAATTTAAAACACATAAGCTAAAGATGATGTAGAACGTGGCGTAACGAAGATTGAAGACATATTTATATATATACGAATAGTTTAAAAAGGCCACCAAAACCCTAAGTTTCCAATGTAAATGACAAATGAATATACCAAGTTAATCTAAAAATTTTAGAACAAAAAAAATTCCATTTAATAGAATCGAAGTTTTACAAATCGTATCTTATCTTTTGCAAAAAAAAATACTTTTATAGAAATAAACAAGTTAATAGCAGTGTTCGCGTATTCAAAATTATATAAAACAAAAGAAGATAGGGCGTTTTGTTAGTATACAGTGAAAAAAGAGAGTAAAGCTTTTAAGCAAAGTTCGTTTTGAATTTATTTTTAGTTAATTTACTTTTAATCTCGAGTTTTCTATTTTTAGTGTATGTCAACTAATTGCCGTAATCAACTTTTCGAAAGTACCATATTTTTCCCTGAAATATAGCGAAATAGATAAAAATCTTGAAATGTGTTGACCGAATTTTTCAGTTCTTAGTTGAAAAGAAAAAAGGATAATTTTAAAGGCACATTTGTAGCCATATCTACTTTGTTTTCTTTTTTTTGAAACAAGGATGGGCGAGATTCTTTTATTTTTGAATGCATCATAATGTGTTACCGCAAATAATTTTGAGAAAAATAACTTATTCATTTCGAGATAAATCATTTATACATATGTAAAAAAGTATTCAGTAGTAAAAAAAGTTCAAATCAGGGACCGTACATTACCAAGTGGATAATAAATTACGAAATGGACCACCTATTACAACTGTTTTCAAATTTTGCCCCTCTCGTTATTTTGTCTCTTTGATAGCGAATGCTCAGAATTTTTGCTGCTGATTAGTTTTGTCGGAAGAATACGAAAACACTCCTAGACCCGTTCAACATCAAAAAATTGTTAAGAATTTTTACCACTTTAATTGCAAGTTTTTTTTTGAAATGCGTTCAATAACCCCAAATATTTGCAAGAGAGCGAATTCGAGAGAGTCGCAAGTGAAAATTTTACTAGCAGCAATTGGCAGGAGTTAAAAAGGCAGTCATGTGTCCATTTCAAATGTAAACAAAGTGTTTAAGGGAAAGATTTGATGAATAATTAAAATCTATGGTAGACTTTTTTGGCTTTTCTGATGATGGGAAGTATTTCCAACAAAGTAGAAAATTAAGCGCCAAAACTTAATCATCAGACCGTCAAAATGGCGTAAGTTCCATATACTACTAGTTTTGCGTTCAATAATTTTTTTCTCTAATAATTTTCTTTTCCTCTAAATTTTACTCCCTATATTTCTTTTACGCTCTAGTTGCAAGTACTTACTGGAAAAGTTTATGAGCAGCAACTGTTTGTTGATTTTAGCAGGACTTTCATTTTTAATAAATACCAAGTATTTACTTGAAAGAGGTAGAAAAAGTGACTATTTTTATCCAAAAAAATTCAAATTTCCAAGTATGCAGAGTTTGTTATTTCGAAATAATTGTAATGCAGTGCCGTATTTTGACAAAATTGTACCAAAACCTTCGATGCAGTATCAATGTACTTTTGGGGTCCAAAATGTACCAAAAAGGACACTTGTACCATCGATTTCATCCCTGTCATGCATATTACATGTGATCGATGAAGGGCCAAATTTACAGTGCGCACTGTAAATTTGGCCCTAAGCAGTCGTTGTATTTAACCGGAATAAATAGGGCTCAGAATCTCATGCAAATGCATGTTTTTATTGGGCATTTTCAAATGGAAATGGTTATGTTATCTTTACGAATCATGAAATTTCCTTTCCATTCTATTGTTAGTGTATATTTTATAGTAAAGGCATCGTTTCGCATATTTTGCAAAGAATACCTGCTTTTGCATATTTATTTCGCATATTTTAGTATATTTTGCAATAAATGAATATGGGTTTTGCAGATTTTTGCTTTTTTTGATTTACAAACATTTAAATTTAGTGTGAAATCTCTTGACAAAAAAGTTACCTACATACAATTATCTCCCATAAATTCATCTGATAAGCTTCTCGGGTAGCCAAGCGACACTCTCTTCTACGCCTGTTAGATAGCCAACTAGTGGAAGACTGTAGGAGGGGCTGGCCTATATCGCTGATCAATACGAAATTACCTTAAACAAAACAAATTACCTGGGACAAAGGGACATTTACGGAAACGAGGCAGCGGACGAACAAGCAGGATGCGGCTCCGCACTGAATGTGTCCCGCGCGATGATCATGGGCGCCTCGCTCGGGGAGATAAAAGCAAAAATTACTAAAATTTATCACTCGAAGGCCAAGCAGAGGTGGAACCGTACAGGATTATCCGGGAATTCTGGGTGTATGTCCTACGACCTACTTAAAACCAAAGTTCTCTTAGGAATGAGTAATCGGCACTGGCCGATTGGATTGCCCTTCAACAGTTGCAGTTGCGATGCCCCGGGCTTAACAGAGACAGCCAACACTTCCTGTGCGGGTGTCCAGCCCTTGTTATTTATTTTTGTACCGGCTATTAGGAAAATATTTTGAACTGCATATTTTACTTGTTTATAGCGCAAATTTTTGAATTTTGAGTGCATATTATATGCGCATATTTTCGATTTTTCATGGCACTCGGGAGCTTGCCACATTGCAAGGCGGTGGGGCGACTGCTTCTGAAAATCTCTAGTTCTGAACTGGTGCGCTTCTAGTACATTTAGACCCAGTACTGGTTCGCGTTAAATCTCTTTTGCATGCAAGCAACTGGCGAATTTAACATGGCGATGTCCTAGGAAGTGTCAATTGCCTCCCGCTGCATCCCTTTTTCGATAGTTCCGAACAAGTCCTAAATTCAATAGTTCCGAACCAGTTCTGAAATCGACAGACGAAAGAAAAGAGTATCATGATTTTTCAATATTTTTGGTTCTTCCGTGTGTGCGTTTTAAGTTATTTTGGAAGAAATGTGTTTTCAATTTGAAATTAAATTTGTGTGAATGATTGTAAGAAATGTGCGTTTACATACCTTTAGCTGTAGTTGAGTTTGCAGAGGTGCTCGCTGTTATTTCTTAGATTCCAGACGGTCCCATGATGTTGAAATGTTAACACAAATTTTAGTTTTGTATTACCAAGCATTGAAAAAGCATCTGCGAAGCACAGAATAGAAGCGTATTTGAACGAATAAGCCGCCGAACACATATCTATGTAAAGTAAAAAAGCCCCCCGCTGCATACCTTATTCGATAGTTCCGAACTAGATCTAAATTCGACAAATAAGATCTAGTTCGTTCTGCATCCCTTGTTCTATAGTTCCGCACCATTTCTAAATTCGTCACTTTAGATATAGATTTCTAGTGAAAAAAACTGAAAAAAAATAGTTTTTTAAAAGTACCACTTTTAGCCGATTTTGGGCTGGTGGGGATCTAGTTCCTATCGGACTAGTTCCTTTTTGGAGACAAAGATCTTGTACGGAACTAGAAATTTGATTCACTAGTCGGCCGTTTCCCTGCAGGGGTGTTTCTTGAAGTGATTGATTAATTTGTGCCATGCATATTTTTATTTGATAAGTGAGCTTAATTATCTCAAGAGGCAGAACAAACTAGTTGCCATTCAACATTTGCAAGTTTGACTTCCTGATAAGTGACCATTTTTTGTGCCCTACAGCCTCTCAAATTTTAATTCAAAGCTTCCGCTGCCCAAATGCTAGTTAAACTGTTAAGTGGTTCTATGTGAGTAAATTAACTGTTCTTGTGCATAGTTTGGTAACAAATCACTTATCGAATTTGCTGTATGTTGCTCTTGATCTTCCATTTTCTAAATACTTACATAAGTATTTTACTCTCATCGTTCTACATACATACATATGTACATGCATAAATGAATATATTGTTAAAACGAGTTATTTCAGATTAATTAAACAACAAATGTTTAACGCGCGTTCCGCTGTGGTCCAGTGCTGCCAAGTTGCTGGCACTGAATGAAAACTATTAAGTCAGACTTTTAAGTGCCAAAAATCTTATGGTTTAGTCGCCCAGTTGCACGCTCGCTCTTACTGTTCTATTGTTTGCACAACTTAATTATCGTAAAACGCTTGATTAAACAGTTGTTGTTGTTGCACAGCTCAGATATTAGGAAATATTTAGCAAAGATTTCCAATTTGTATTGCCATCTCGCATTTGCTATAGCACAGATGCCTTTGCTATCAATTGATGTTATTGAGCAGTTCTATTTGTACCATTTTGAACTCTTCTTCTTTCAGTGGAATATTGATTTTTCATAATTTTTGATTTTTTTGCCGCCTATAAATGCTTAAGCACCACAAACTGACCCTTTAGTCTTGATCTAGTCTTTCTTTTGGATATTTCGGAATTGACTTGAATTCATCATGAAACCGTTCGCTTGTATTGTGGTCATTGCGGCCGCACTTATTGCCTGTGGGCAGGCGCATAATGTGCAGAAACGTTCTTTGGGATCCTTGCTTGGTGGTGGTGGCGGTAGCGGCGGCGGCTGGAGTAGTGGCGGTGGCGGCGGCGGCTGGAATAGTGGCGGTGGCGGCGGAAGCGGTGGTGGGTTAGGCAATATTGGTTCGCTGATTCAACAAAAACTGGGCGGTTTGCTCGGCGGTGGTGGAGGCGGCGGCGGTGGTCAAGGCGGATGGAGCGGCGGTGGTGGTGGCGGTAGCTACGGTGGCGGTCATGGTGGCGGTAGCTACGGTGGCGGTCATGGTGGTTGGAGCGGCGGTGGCGGTCATGGCGGATATAGCGGTGGAGGCGGCAGCGGCGGCAAGGTCGTCATTGTTAAAGTTGTCAACGATGGTGGATACGGCGGCGGCTATGGCGGCGGTGGTCATGGTGGCTGGAGCGGCGGTGGCGGCAGCTATGGCGGCGGTGGTCACGGTGGCTGGAGCGGCGGTGGGGGCCATGGCGGCTGGGGTGGCAGTGGTGGTTGGTAAATTATCAATCTTGCCAAATAAATCTGAAATAGACACAGGGTTCAAAATTAGAATATTTAAATATTAGAATATTCATAGCTATAATTTCTAGCATAAGTTTGTTATAAGAATGGAACATAGAAAAGGAAATATTTAAGGAATTTGAATAAATTTTGTTAAAAAATGTCCAAAAAACCAGTTTTTATCAGCTGATAATTTTTTCATTTTAAAATGAATGTATGTAAATACATAGAAAACAGTATTGAAAAATTAACTGGTATGTATAACAAGTTCTTAAACGGCGCGCTTCCTACTTGCCAATTCTATCATGCCGACGTGAATATCTGTTGGCAAAGCATAGTTTAGTAACAATTCGTTTAATTAACTGTTGTTCGTTTTGCATTAATTAATTACGTTAAAAAAACTGGGTAGAAGAAAAGACAATATAAGATGCCGAGAACTTCAGAATTTCATTTGCATATTCAGTCCCGTAAAAAAACATCGAAAAGAACATAAAAAATACTTGTAGGCAGATATAAATCCGTTTATGTAAACTACGTTCTACATGTTACAGCGTGGAATTTTTTCCATTGCCATGCAGATTTAAATTCACACACACATATGTATATCAGTATTTTAAAATAAGGTTTAGATAGATTACAGCGGCTACACAAATATCCGGGTACAATTCTTTTGTGAAAAAAGAAAACACTTTTTAAAACACATCTGCATTAGGACAAAGCAATAAACGGCGGGCTCACTCAACTGGCATGCGAGGATAAACTGTCTTTTCGTTGGATTTATACGTATCTTCATTTCAAGAAGACCTAAGATATACATATTTAGAATGCGCTAAAATTCCTGCAAAATCTAAAGAGTCATGTGCAGACTAGAAAACGGGATATACATCTAGTTAAAGTGGGAATAACTGTCAATGGAGTTAGCAGGAATTGCATGGGGGCGGGAATAAGAGAGACTTTGTCTTTTTATATCGAACCACTTTTCTGCTTCCCTATAATGATTTTGTTATTTGGTTAGATACATAAATTGTCAAACACATTGGAGCAAAGTTGCCAATTACTTCGAAATGTGCATGTCAAGAAAGTGATGTGGTCTGCGCTTTTCTGTATTCTGAGAGTAATCGCTATACATAATACAAAGACCGATACTGGTAGACATAACTACTAAACAGGCAACTCGACACCAGTCGCCATACATAATACATTAATTTAATACATGCAATCTGCGTACGAATTAGGGTGAATGTCTCGGTTTTTCCGGTTCTCGGTTTCGAGCGCTTTGTTGAATACTTCAGGTGGTTTTTTTGAAATCTCGAATTTTTGAATACCAAAAAAAGATATGCTTTATACACAGCTGGCGTAAGGCCTATTCCTTTCTTCCGAGGAACAGTATGGACACGGACGTTGAGCAAAAACATTTTCAACAGCAAAATGGAAAGGGCTTTCTCTCCACAGCGAGCAAAGAAGTTATCTCGGTCCATTTTACGACAAACTTTATTCTAACTGAAATGGTACTAGGTAAAAATATTGCGTGCCTGCGTTGATAAGTTTTCAACAAGAGTCCCCGTTGGGAACGAAATATACAGCGTAAAAATCTTGAATCTAGCTCGATTTAAATTTTTAGTGATGGCTCTACCCTAAATAGTAAAGCCGGCAGCAACACCTATTCGACATAACTACTTCTAAGCATTAGCCGGCATATACCAGGGTATTGTGGTGTCTCTCAAGCTGAATTAAGAGGTATAAAGAAGGATGCCCTCCTGTGATAGAATACTTCATCATATCAAGACTAGGCTTCGATTTATTACCTAGAGTGCAACAATACCTCTTCGAAGGTAACAATTCAAGGAAGAACGGTTCTAAACGATTTGGCTACGCGACAAACAAAGAATGTTTTCTGGATTCCAGCCTGGAATTTCCAGGGCATGGAATTATTACTGGAAACAGCATTGCGAACTTATCTGTAGTTGTTGAGTTTTGCCCTAAATGCTGTCAATCAAACTATCTTCAAATGAACTATTCTGCTTTTCAGTTGTGCTAGAGATGGAAGTGAGTTTGACTAGCAATTTAAAAAAGTTCCGCTAGAAACATATGTGACACGTAAAGTTAAAAGGGACCTACGCACAGTGGTTGCTGCCTTAGGCCAAAATTAAAAAAATGTATGTAAAAATTTTTACACCAAACTAAGCTTTGCAATCAGTTTCTTGTCCAAACTTCATGTTGTCATATATTTTTTGTTTTCATTCTAACGTTTGTTTCTGAAAAAAGCAACAAACGTGTCATCAATTGTTCATTTTATTTGTACATCATTAGCACGTTGCAAATTTAATTTGATTTAACGTAATTAAAATATTGTGAAAAGCCGAGTGAGTTAAAATTATATGCAATGGATATTGTACATAAAGGTATTGACTTTATTTCTACAATTAAACTTTTAGATAATTCGTGTTGTGTTCTATGCAAATCGTTGTTTTAGAAAAGTAGGATTTTGCGTTTTTCTTGGTTCATCTTTAAAGTATTGAGGCAATGTTTTAAGTGTTCCCTATCGGCCCTCAATATTTTTATTTACATTTTGTTTGTTAATATTTTAAGATTATAAAAGTGTTCAGTGTATATGCGTTGACCTGCAGAGGGTCGCCTAGTATTCCATAACCTAATCCAAGCTCTTTATTTTCTACAGTTTTTTTTCATGTTTATTTTTCATGTTTATTGTTCAACCAACAGTTTCTACCAATTCAAATGGTGGCTCCCGAAAATAGATTTAGTTGAGTCTTCAAAAAGACTAAGCGTTGGCGAACATATCGGGATAAAATTTTTACTCAAAGGTCTGTTAAGGGTAAAGACTGTAATATGTAAAAGTGGGCGGGGTTGGACACGCCCACATACAGTCATGTGAAAAATAATAGGGACACGAAATTGTGACCAGTTTCGGCTATTTTTTTTGTTGAATGTTTATTTTTTTTTATAAAAATACAGCTCACTATCTAACAAAAGCAAAATTTCAAACTTTGTAAAAAAATAGAAAACACCAAACTTTATAAATAAGAACTTTTAGAAAAAAGTTATGTATGCAGTTTTATAGACCACTGAATTCTAGCTCAAGAAAGTGCAAGTTTTAAATGGCTAAGAAATCGCTTTGATTTTTGATAATTTTTTTCCTGATGGTGTCACGCATTTTCTTCCATTCAAAGTATGTTTGACAATTTTTGTTTTTATAAAAGCAAATAGTAACACCATCCGCAAAAAAAAAAACAATTATCAACAATCAACGCAAATTTTTAGCCACTTCAAACTTGCAATTTCTTCAGCTAGAATTTAATGGGCTATAAAACTGTACACCCAGATTTTTTCTAAAAGTTCTTATTAAAAAGGTTTGTGTTGTTTTAAAGTTTTGTTGAATTTTCTACTTCTTTACAAAGTTTGAAATCTGGACTTATTTGGTTTTTGTTAGTTAGTGAAAAAACAAAAATAGCCGACACTGGTCGCAATGTCGTGTCCCTATTATTTTTCACATGACTGTATGTGGGCGGGTCCAACCCCGCCCACTTTTACATAGTACAGTTTTTACTCTTAACAGACCTTAGGGTAACAATTTTATCGCGGTATGTCCATTAAAAGTATTTTTGGACGCTCTCCCCATTTAAATGCAACCACTGTGCTACGCTCAGAAAAAAAGATTTCGAGAAAACGACTTTGAAGTTTACCAAGTTGATTTTGATGCTTCTGGACGTTTTAATGGATTGAAACTCGTTGCTCGGGTTTTCGGGATCACTGATTACGAATCCCATGTTAGTTTTCCAAAATTCAAAATGGCGGATCCAATATGGCGGATGACTTTTTTAAAAATTGATCGGAATCGCTTGAAACTCGTTACTCGGGGGTTTTTGGTATCGCTGTTACGAATCCGATGTTCGTTTTTAGAAATTCAAAATGGCGGATCGAATATGGCGAAAAAAAACTGAAAATTTGTTCGGATTCATGTGGATTCGCCATTTGGAATTTTGAAAAACTAACATCGGATTCGTAATCAGTGACCCCGAAAACTCCCGAATAACGAGTTTCAAGCAAATTTGATTAACTTCAGAATAGTTTTTCAGATTTGATTTTTTTTGTATTTTTGTGTGTGAATTTGAAGTGCAATTGTGAAAAAACTAATGCAGCTATAAAGCTGCAGTTTATTGCATTGGAAAGGGCGTTTACTATAAGAGTCGATGAAAAAGTGAAAACCGATTTTTTCTGACCGTAGGTCGCTTTTAACTTTACGTGTCACATATATGTCAGGGGTGGGCAAGGCCGAGGTCGAAAAGAGCCACATGTAAATTCTAAATGCTTCAAAGAGCCACACGAAAAAACAACAATAACACAAATTTTAGTTTTAAATAAAATTATTATTAAGTAAATTGATATTAATTATTATTAAGTAAGATAGATATTAAAGAAAATTCAAAAGATCTCTTTGGCCAAATTTTCAAAATCCGATTTTACGTCAGTTAAAACCGTTTGTAACAGTTCTGTTAAATGTTGGTTCGTTCGTTTAAAATCCAATCCAGTAAAAAATGTCCAACAGCAAAATTCCGGCGAAATGTCATCTGTTCTCTCACAGGAATAAAAATCTAAAATAGTACGCTAACAAAAAATTTGCAGAAACTTGCAAGTTAGACGGACAGCTCACCCAAAAAAAACTTGTCTTAATTGAAGAAAAATAGCACTCAAAATGAAGAAAAATGGGAACGAAACAGCACTAAAGAAGTTTTATCCTCTTTTCATGCCCAACATTTCTTCAAAATGATAGATTACATCCATGGTTCCATATTTTCGTGTACGTTTTTACACATTCCAAAGAAAAATTACGCATTCGGGAGAATTTTTTACTCATTCGGAAGAGTTTTCAACCTTAAAGTAAGGAAAGTTTTTCTTTGATCCAGAGATAGATTTTTGGTTCAGTGCTGATAGAAATTTTGTTAAGATTAAAATGTATGAAATAGAAAACGTAAGAAACGT